TACGAATTCTCTGCATTATATTCACACCACACATTGCCCTCAGACATGACATCTCCACTGCCTCCAGCTTTCTCCTCGCTGCAACATTCATCACCCATGCTTCACACCCATATAAGAGTGTTGGTAAAACTATACTCTCATACATTCCCCTCTTTGCTTCCAAGGACAAAGTTCTTTGTCTCCACAAATTCCTAAGTGCACCACTCACCCTTTTCCCCTCATCAACTCTATGATTCACCTCATCTTTCATAGACCCTTCCGCTGACACGTCCACTCCCAAATATCTGAATACATTCACCTCCTTCATACTCTCTCACTCCAATCTGATATCCAATCTTTCATCACCTAATCTTTTTGTTATCCTCATAACCTTACTCTCTCCTGTATTCACTTTCAATTTTCTTCTTTTACATACGCTACCTAATTCATCCACCAACCTCTGCAACTTCTCTTCAGAATCACCCAAGAGCACAGTGTCATCAGCAAAGAACAACTGTGACAACTCCCACTTTATGTGTGATTCTTTATAATTTAACTCCACACCACTTACCAAGACCCTTGCATTCACTTCTCTTACAATCCCATCTATAAATATATTAAACAACCACGGAGACATCACACATCCTTGTCTAAGGCCTACTTTTACTGGGAAATAATCTCCCTCTTTCCTACATACTCTAACTTGAGCCTCACTATCCTCGTAAAAACTCTTCACTGCTTTCAGTAACCTACCTCCCATACAATACATCTGCAACATCTGCCACATTGCCCCCCTATCCACCCTGTCATACGCCTTTTCCAAATCCATAAATGCCACAAAAACCTCCTTAGCCTTATCTAAATACTGTTCACTTATATGTTTCACTGTAAACACCTGGTCCACACACCTACTACCTTTCCTAAAGCCTCCTTGTTCATCTGCTATCCTATTCTCCGTCTTACTCTTAATTCTTTCAATAATAACTCTACCATACAATTTACCAGGTATGTTCAACAGACTTATCCTCCTATATTTTTTTCATTCTCTTTTGTCCCCTTTGCCTTTATACAAAGGAACTGTGCGTGCTCTCTGCCAATCCCTAGCACCAACCACTCCATAACTATATCCACACCTGCTTGTAACATTTATATCTTTATCCCATCAATCCCAGCTGCCTTACCCCCTTTCATTTTACCTACTGCCTCACGAACTTCCCTCACACTCACAACTGGCTCTTCCTCACTCCTACAAGATGTTATTCCTCCTTGCCCTATACACGAAATCACAGCTTCCATATCTTCATGAACATTCAACAATTCCTCAAAATATTCCCTCCATCTTCCCAATACCTCTAACTCTCCATTTAATAACTCTCCTCTCCTATTTTTTACTGACAAATCCATTTGTTCTCTAGGCTTACTTAATTTGTTAATCTCATTCCAAAACTTTTTCTTATTTTCAACAAAATTTGTTGATAACATCTCACCCACTCTCTCATTTGCTCTCTTTTTACATTGCTTCACCACTCTATTAACCTCTCTCTTTTTCTCCATATACTCTTCCCTACTTGCATCACTTCTACTTTGTAAAATCTTCTCATATGCTAACTTTTTCTCCCTTACTACTCTCTTTACACCATCATTCAACCAATCGCTCCTCTTCCCTCCCGCACCCACTTTCCTGTAACCACAAACTTCTGCTGAACACTCTAACACTACATTTTTAAACCTACCCCATACTTCTTCGACCCCATTGCCTATGCTCTCATTAGCCCATGTATCCTCCAATAGTTGTTTATATCTTACCCTAACTGCCTCCTCTTTTAGTTTATAAACATTCACCTCTCTCTTACCTGATTCTTCTATTCTCCTTGTATCACATTTACCTTTTACTCTCAATGTAGCTACAATTAAAAAGTGATCTGATATATCTGTGGCCCCTCTATAAACATGTACATCCTGAAGCCTACTCAACAGTCTTTTATCTACCAATACATAATCCAACAAACTACTGTCATTTCGCCCTACATCATATCTTGTATACTTATTTATCCTCTTTTTCTTAAAATATGTATTACGTATAACTAAACCCCTTTCTATACAAAGTTCAATCAAAGGGCTCCCATTATCATTTACACCTGGCACCCCAAACTTACCTACCACACCCTCTCTAAAAGTTTCTCCTACTTTAGCATTCAGGTCCCCTACCACAATTACTCTCTCACTTGGTTCAAAGGCTCCTATACATTCACTTAACATCTCCTAAAATCTCTCTCTCTCCTCTACATTCCTCTCTTCTCAAGGTGCATACACGTTTATTATGACCCACTTTTCGCATCCAACCTTTACTTTAATCCACATAATCCTTGAATTTACACATTCATATTCTCTTTTCTCCTTCCATAACTGATCCTTCAACATTATTGCTACCCCTTCCTTAGCTCTAACTCTCTCAGATACTCCAGATTTAATCCCGTTTATTTCTCCCCACCGAAATTCCCCTACCCCCTTCAGCTTTGTTTCACTTAGGGCCAGGACATCCAACTTCTTTTCATTCATAACATCAGCAATCATCTGTTTCTTGTCATCTGCACTAATTCCACGCACATTCAAGCATCTCAGTTTTATAAAGTTTTTCTTCTTCTCTTTTTTAGTAAATGTTTACAGGAGAAGGGGTTACTAGCCCATTGCTCCCGGCATTTTAGTCGCCTCATACGACACGCATGGCTTACGGAGGAAAGATTCTTTTCCACTTCCCCATGGACAATAGAAGAAATAAAGAAGAATAAGAACTATTTAGGAAAAGGAGAAAAAACCTAGATGTATGTATATATATATGCATGTGCGTGTCTGTGAAGTGTGACCAAAGTGTAAGTAGGAGAAGCAAGATATCCCTGTTATCTAGCGTGTTTATGAGACAGAAAAAGACACCAGCAATCCTACCATCATGTAAACCAGTTACAGGTTTCTGTTTCACAGTCATCTGGCAGGACGGTAGTACTTCCCTGGGTGGTTGCTGTCTACCAACCTACTACCTTCAATAAAATATTCCCTCCATTTTCCTGATACCTCTAACTTTCTATCTAACAACTCTCCTCCTATTTTTAACTGTCAAATCCATTTATTCCTAAGTCTTTCACATTTTATTATTCTCACTCCAAAACTTTTTCTAATTTTCAACAAAATTTGTTGATAACATCTCACCCACTCTTTCATTTGCTCTCTCTTTTTACATTCCTTCACCACTCTCTTAACCTTTCTTTCTATCTCCACATACTCTTCACTTCTTGCATCACATCTACTTTTTAAAAACCTCTAGTATGCATTTTTTCCTCTCTTACTACTCTCTTTATATCATCATTCCACCAATCGCTCTTCCTCCCTCCTACACCCACTTTCCTGTAACCACAAACTTCTGGTGAATAAGTATCTATATTTTTCATCTTAATTTCAGGAATTAAGAGTAAGACGGAGAGCAGTATAGTAGATGACAAAGAAGTTTAGGAAAGGTAGGGGGTGTGTAGACCTAGTGTTTATAGTGAAACATATAGATGAACTGTATTTAGATAAGGCTAAAGAAGTTTTTGTGGCATTTATGGATTTGGAAAAGGCGTATGACAAGGTGGATAGGAGGGCAGTGTGGCAGATGTTGCAGGTGTATTGAATGGGAGGTAGGTTATTGAAAGCAGTGAAGAGATTTACAGGGATAGTGAGGCTCAGGTTAGATTATGTAGGAGAAAGGGATATTATTTCCCAGTAAAAGTAGGCCTTAAATAAGGATGTGACGTCACCATGGTTGTTCAATATATTTATAGATGTAAGATAAGTGAATACTCAGGTGTTGGCAAGAGGTGTGCGGTTAAAAGATAAAGCATGTAACACAAAGTGGGAGACGTTACAGTTGCTCTTTGCTGATCACACTGTGCTTTTGGGAGATTCTGATGAGAAATTGCAGAGGTTGGTGGATGAGTTTGGTAGGGTCTGTAAAAGAAGAAAATTAGAAATCAATATAGGAAAGAGTATGTTGTTGGAGGAGGTGAATGTATTCAGATATTTAGGAGTGGACGTGTCAGCAAGTGGGTCTATGAAAGATGAGGTGAATCATAGAATTAATGATGGAAACGAGGTGAGTCCATGGAAACAAAGGGAGCATTGCATGAGAGGATAGTTATACCAATGCTTTCATATGGGTGTGCAACATGGCTGGTGAATGTTGCAACAGGGAAAAGGCTGGAGGCAACGGAGATGTCATGTCTGAGGGCAATGTGTGGTGTGAATATAATGCATAGAATTCGTAGTTTGGAAATTAGAAGAAGGTGCTTGATTACCAAAACTATCATCCAGAGGGCTCAGTAGGGCCGTTGAGGTGGTTCGGTCATGAAAATTGGATGGAACAAAGCAGAATGACTTAGAGAGTATATAAATCTGGGATGGCAGGGTAGGGGTCGGCCTAAGAAAGGTTGGAGGGAGGGCGTAAAGGAGGTTTTGTGTGCGAGGAGCTTGGACTTCCAGCAAGCATGTGTGAACGTGTTAGATAGAAGTGAATGGAGACAAATTGTTCTTAGGACTTGATGTGCTGTTGGAGTGTGAGCAAGGTAACATATATGAAGGGATTCAAGGAAACTGGGATGCTGGACTTGATTCCTGGAGATGGGAAATACAGTGTCTGCACTCTGAAGAAGAAGTGTTAATGTTTTATAACTGTAGTTTATGAGTGCCTCTGGCAAGACAGTGATGGAGTGAATGATGAAAGTTTTTCTTTCTCGGGACTCCCTGCCTTGGTGGGAGACAGCTCATGTGTGACCAAATAAAATAAAGAAAAAAATCCTCTTGGATTCCTTACCATAATTGCCGTTCACCGCCCGATATGATGTTCACTAATTTCTATTCATCAGTTCTCAGTATATCTTCTCTATCTGCTTTCATTCTGGTGCAAACAGATTACCACCGTAAAACTCAACACGTTCACTACTTCTAAGGCAGTATAATTTCTCTCAATACTCATAACTTTTCTGTTCCAGGTGGACTGGTGGTCATTTTGATGCGACTGGAGTGTTTTTTGTCAGATGATGAATTCAAAGACAAAATGGCAGATTACATGGATCGCTTGGAGAAGACACATGTTTGGCGACAGGTAATGTCTCTGTGATCACTTATATTCTATTGCTGCATATAAATTTATTTTAAGATCGGTGTTTAGTGTTGATATTAAGTTTAAATAGCAGTAGTAGGATGATGTATATTATACATGTCATGGTGTAATGTTGATTAAAGTGAAACGTCTATAAAAACAAATGTAAATCTGTTTTACGAGGCCAAGTAATGATAATATATAATATCCTTATTTCTACAAGTACATGAACATAGTATAGAGGCCTAGATAACATCAGTAACATACTACTGTATAGAAAACTGCTTGTTATGCAGAGCATTTCGGGCAAATTAGGTCAGTGTTGTCCCAGGATGCAACTCACGTGGGCATGGACGACTGGTGTAAGGAAGCACACCCACCGTTTCTACCCTTTGCCGGGGATCGAACCTGGACTCACTGTGTGAAGAAAGAGTATTTGCCACGAGGCCACGGGCCACCATGGCCAAACAAAAATGCACTCACATACACTCACACACACACAAACACACACATACAAATCTCAGTAAGGAGTCCTTTCTGACCTTGTACACTGTGTACTTCAGACCCGTCCTAGAGTATGACCCTCCAGTTTGGAACTCATACCTGGTCAAGCATGACACAAAACTAGATAAAATTCAAAAGTCTGGAACGAGACTAGTGCCTGAACTAAGGAGCATGTCCAACGAGGAGATGTTAAGGAAATTCAACCTGATGAGCCTGGAGGACAGGAGGAACAGAGGAGACATGATAACGACATATAAAATGCTGAGAAGAATCGACAAAGTGGACAGAGACAGGATGTTCCAGAGATGGCACACAGCAACAAGAGGTCACAATTGGAAGTTGAAGACTCAGATGAGTCACAGGGATGTTAAGAAGTATTACTTCACTTATAGAGTTGTTAGGATGTGGAATACTCTGGGAAGTTGAGTATTGGAGGCGGGATCCATACATAGCTTAAAGAAGAGGTATGATAAAGCTCATGGAGCAGGAATAGTGACGTAGTACCGACCAGTGAAGAAGCGGGGCCAGGAGCTGTGAACTGACCCTTGCAACCACAACTAGGAGAGTAAGTCTGACGAGTACATATGCAGCACCAGTTTGAAACCCACACCTAGCCAACCAGGTAAGGAATCTAGAGAAAGTGCAAAGGTTTACAACAAGACTAGTTCCAGAACTAAGGGGAATGTCCCATGAAGAAAGGTTAAGGAAAGTCGGCCTGACGACGCTGGAGGACAGGAGGGCTACATGAGACATGATAACATCATACAAAATACTGCGAGGAATTGAAAAGGTGGATAAAGACAGGATGTTCCAGAGATTCGACACAGAAACAAGGTGTCACAATTAGAAGTTAAAGATTCAAATGAGTCAAAGAGATGTTAAGAAGTATTTCTTTAGTCATAGAGTTGTCAAGATGTGGAAGAGTCTGACTAGTGACGTACTGGACACAGCAACCATACATAGTTTTAAGACTACATATGATAAAGCTCATGAAGCAGAGAGAGTGATTAACTAGTAGCGATCAGTGAAGATGTGGGGCTAGGAGCTATGACTCGATCCTTATAACCACAAATAGGTGAACAAATAGATGAGCACATACACATACACGAGAGGAGCAACAAGTGAAAACACCCACAGAACCACCCTCAGAATCCTGCAGCCAAACATAACATCCCAACACAAACTACACTCCAAACCCACAGCCTCCACCTTAGACAGCGCTGTAAAATCTCATGGCGCATTGCCAGGTCCCTCACTTCCCTAGTTCCCACAAACTCTCCACAATACATTGCTGGTGAGGAAACTGAAGGTATGGTACACCAACACTGATGGAATAACGAATAATTGGGAATTGTGGCACCAAAGAATCACAGAAGCATCACAATGAATCGTGGTTCTCACAGAAACCAAGCTCGCAGGAGTGATAATAGAGGGAATCTTTCCAACTGGATATCATATCCTCAAGAAGGACAGAGGGAACAGAAGGGGTGGAGTGGCACTGCTCATGACAGATGAATGGGATTTTGAAGAACTGGAGGTAGGAGAGAGAGAATAAGCAACGGGCTACATAATAGAAACAACTGGAACTGGAAGTCCCAAGGTGGTGATTGCAGTGATGTATAACCCATCACAGAATAGCAGGAGGCCAAGGCAAGAATATGAGGGTAACAGAGCAATGGTTGACACACTGGATGAATGCACCAGAGGAGACCATGTGGGTAGGGCAAAGCTACTGATTGTGGGTGATTTCAATCTCAAGGAGATAGACTTTGAAAACCTTGAACCACATGGGGGACCATAAACATGGATTGTCAAGATGATGGAGGCTGTACTGGAAAACCTCATGCATCAACATGTAAGGAACACTACCAGGGAGAGAGGGGAGGACGAACCAGCAAGACTGGCACTAGTATTTACATTGAGTAGTGCAGTTATTGAGGACATCACATACGAAAGATCCCTCGGGGCTAGTGATCACGTGGTTCTAAGTCTCGAATACATAGTTACAAATGCAAAGGGAATCAGGAGTAGGATGGGAGAAGCCAAACTACAAAAAGGAGGACTACACAGGCATGAGGAATTTCCTGCATGAGTTTAGTTAGAAAGAGAATTGGTGTGAAAATTCAGTAAACGAAATGATGGACTACATAACAATAAAATGCAAGGAAGCAGAGGAGAGGATCCTTTCCAAGGACAACAGAAATAATGGGAAGACCAGAACGAATCCTTTGTTCACCCAAAGGTGCAGAGGCAAAAAAAAAAATGCCTTAGAAAATGGAAAAACTACAGAAGATAAAGGACCCAAGAAAATAAAAAGATTACTCAATGAGACGGAACCGAATATACGCAGATAAGGAGGGAGGCCCAGCAGAAATACGGACACGACAAAGCATCGAAAGCCAAGTCTGAAACGATGCTGTTGTATAGCCACACCAGGACGAAAATAACAGTCAAGGGCCAGGTAATCAGGCTAAGGAAGGAAGAAGGAGAGTTCACACGAAACGACCGAGAAGTATGTGAGGGGCTCAATATGAAATTTAAAGAAGTATTTATATTTAAGACTCTGGAAATCCGGAATAGTGGTGTACACTCAGATATGGTAAACATGAGGAAATTAAATCTTCATCAGAGTACAAAACAAATTCTGGCCACAAAATAGAGCGAAACACCAACGTCAAAGACCTGGGAGTGATCATGTCGGAGGATCTCACCTTCAAGAACCATAACATTGTATCAATCGCATCTGCTACAAAAATGACAGGATGGATAATGAGAACCTTCAAAACTAGGGAGGCCAAGCCCATGATGACACTCTTCAGGTCACTTGTTCTATCTAGGCTGGAATATTGCTGCAGACTAACAGCACCTTTCAAGGCAGGTGAAATTGCCGACCTAGAAAATGTACAGAGAACTTTCACGGCGCGCATAACGGAGATAAAACACCTCAATTATTGGGAGCGCTTGAGGTTCCTAAACCTGTATTCCCTGGAACGCAGGAGGGAGAGATACATGATTATATACACCTGGAAAATCCTAGAGGGACTAGTACCGAACTTGCACACGAAAATCACTCACTACGAAAGCAAAAGACTTGGCAGACGATACACCATCCCCCCAATGAAAAGCAGGGGTGTCACTAGCACGTTAAGGGACCATACAATAAGTGTCAGGGGCCCAAGACTGTTCAACTGCCTCCCAGCACACATAAGGGGGATTACCAACAGACCCCTGGCAGTCTTCAAGCTGGCACTGGACAAGCACCTAAAGTCAGTTCCGGATCAGCCGGGCTGTGGCTCGTACGTTGGTTTGCGTGCAGCCAGCAGCAACAGCCTGGTTGATCAGGCTCTGATCCACCAGGAGGCCTGGTCACAGACCGGGCCGCGGGGGCGTTGACCCCCGGAACTCTCTCCAGGTAAACTCCAGGTACACCAGCAAGGGATACACCAGCACGTGCAATATGAAATACTCACATCCTGGGTGTTAGTCGACTGGTGTGGGGTGGCATCCTGGGGACAACATTGACTGGTGTTGGGTGGCATCCTGGGGAACAACATTGACTGGTGTTGGGTGGCATCCTGGGGACAACATTGACTGGTGTGGGGTGGCATCCTGGGGGACAACATTGACTGGTGTGGGATGGCATCCTGGGGACAACATTGACTGGTGTTGGGTGGCATCCTGAAAGGACAACATTGACTGGTGTGGGGTGGCATCCTAGGGACAACATTGACTGGTGTTGGGTGGCATCCTGGGAGACAACATTGACTGATGTGGGGTGGCATCCTGGGGAACAACATTGATTGGTGTTGGGTGGCATCCTGGGGAACAACATTGACTGGTGTTGGGTGGCATCCTGGGGACAACATTGACTGGTGTTGGGTGTCATCCTGGTGGACAACATTAACTGGTGTTGGGTGGCATCCTGGGGACAACATTGACTGGTGTTGGGTGGCATCCTGGGTAACAACATTGACTGGTGTGGGGTGGCATCCTGGGGGAAAACATTGACTGGTGTGGGGTGGCATCCTGGGGAACAACATTGGTGTTGGGTGGCATCCTGAGGGACAACATTGACTGGTGTGGGGTGGCATCCTGGGAAACAACATTGAGGACAACATTGGAAATAAGAGTCACTCTCTGACTCACTGACTTTCTTGGATTATCCCAGGTAGATTACCCTCCCCAGGATGCGACCCCCAACAGTCGATTAAGACCAAGGTACCCACTTACTGCTAGGACAACACACAGCAGGTGTAAGTAAACATCAGTGTGTCATCCATGCCGGGGATCAAACCATCCACACTGGTGATAAATGACATGCGATAAATGACATGCCCATGCACTCTGCCCCAGGACGAGACTCATGGAACTCTGTGTTCATCAAGAACTGCAAGAAGCCCCTATCACGAGCCTTTTCCATCCTATGGAGAGGGAGCATGGACACGGGGGTCGTCCCACAGTTACTAAAAACAACAGACATAGCCCCACTCCACAAAGGGGGCAGTAAAGCAATAGCAAAGAACTACAGACCAATAGCACTAACATCCCATATCATAAAAATCTTTGAAAGGGTCCTAAGAAGCAAGATCACCACCCATCTAGAAACCCATCAGTTACACAACCCAGGGCAACATGGGTTTAGAACAGGTCGCTCCTGTCTGTCTCAACTATTGGATCACTACGACAAGGTCTTAAATGCACTAGAAGACAAAAAGAATGCAGATGTAATATATACAGACTTTGCAAAAGCCTTCGACAAGTGTGACCATGGCGTA